TAAAGAGAAAAAAAAGAGAGGCGCACTTAAAGCTGTATTTATCATCTCGAATCGATCTCAATTACCGCGAAACGTATCGACGTTTGGCGATCGACGAACGGTGAATTAGCCGCGGAGAGAGAACACCGTATCGCGTGACATTCGAAATTGTACGAGAAAGCAGGCGCGGAGGGAGGGAAGAAAAGCGAGCGGCGCGGTGGAAAGCGAGCGGATCGCGATCGTGATCGGGAGCACGCTCGTTAGAGAGGCCGCCGGCTCGTTACTCGGCCGCTTCTGCATCAAATCCGGCAATTAAACAGCGGCGATCGCGTTTACGCCGAGATAAATACCGGTCACCTCACGAGACCGAGGCAGAGACTTATGGGTTGATGAAGATTACACGGGGACAGGGGAAAGGTGGGAGAGATGACAGGAGGAGACGACCAAGGTAGTTCCTGAACTTCCCATCGAACGCTACATGGACGATGACCTCTTGGCGGGTTGCACATTTTGAACGTCTGGATGCGATAATAATTTGGATCATGCGTAATTTCGATAATAACGTAACTTCTTCCTTGTGTATTTTATTAGTTAGCTTGATTGAAAGTAGCATTAAAATGGGAAAGGGAATCGTACACGTGATTTTTTAGAAAAAATTTTTTTTAACAACAAAGATCTTTCAAAAAATTAAATTCAAAGACGTGAAGTTGAGAGCTTCGTTTATTCTTTGAAAATGAATTCAGAATTTACAAAGCTTTTTTTAAATATCGACAATTTTATTTGCAACAATTTTTTGCATGTTACAATTCATAAGATTAAAATATCACCCTAAACTATTAACATGTTATAATCTATAACGATATAAAATTTTATTACCTGCTCTAGGGAAGTGTAAACTTTTCGAGAATACGAATAAAACGAGGCGAGAGACGAGCAACAAGGAGAGAGAGAGAGAAAGAGAGAGAGAGAGAGAGAGAGAGAGAGAGAAGAGAGCGTTACGACGATGTCCACCGATGAATTACCATACCGACCGGATTACCTTTCATGCGCGAAACATCTCCATCAGCTGGAACCGCGAATAATCCGATAAGCGAATTAAGATTAGCAGCTTCTGATGAGCCGCTAAGTGACTATCGACGTTCGCATATCGACCAGCTTCGGTGACATGGAGCTGAGTGGCGACGTCGATCACCAGAAATCGATCATTGCCTCCTCGCTCGATCCTTCGATCGACGTTGTTATCGGCATCGTACACAGTGTTGTAAGGATCTTTGCACACACACGAAGTATTTTTTTTTTTTGTTATTTATGTTATTTGAGTATAAATCGCTTGTGATGGAGTTAAAAACATTTGTGATAAAAGCTAGCTATAATATAGTTTATGCTAGTTTTATCTAAAATTATAATAGTATGTTATAAGCTTGACTAAGTTTATGTGTTTTTGATGTTGATACTCCTTCAAAAATATCATAGATTATCTTTTTCATTTAATGTGCATCAATATTTATAACGATTATTTGTTCGATATATAGTTAAAATAAAATCGAGTAATAATGCATATAACATGAAGTATTAAAAGTTTTAATTCAAATCGTTTTATAATTATTAACGATATAATATAGAAATGTTTTATTTAAACGAGAAACGTTTATAAATTCCAACAAGAAAATTTCAATTTCACTATAAAACATCTTTTTCTATATCAAATCTTCTCCATCGCTGAAATTAACTATAAACGCAAACTTTCTTCTATTCTAATCACAACCCTTTCCAGAGCCCACCATCAACCATCCAACGATCGATATCTATACACCGAATAATCTCAGCAACTTTCTAAACTCTTCTCCTACCATCAATTCCATCCAAATCGAACCGACCGACGCAGCATCTCTCTCGCCAACTGATCACGGAAGATCGAAGTGTCAGGTTCCCACGAGAACGTCGCGAAATTCACGAACCGGCGATCGTGTCGTCGGTTTTACGGTCCTCGTACAGAAGCTTGGAGCAGGTATACACGTTTACGACGTCGCTGGAAAATCGGCCGTAAACGCGACTCAGTCGTAAAGATTGTCGAGTGGTTGCTCTCTCACGTTCCGGGCCATTAGGATCAGGACGGCGAAAGAGAGTCGCACGGCCCTGGATGAAAGGATACTTTCTCTGTCGCTCGTCGACGTTTCGGCGCAAGCGCGATAGATCTCGGCGAAACGGCGATAAAACAATCATTTCGTTCTAGAGAGTGTCAGATTCGACATGCTGATGACGAGCGATGGCTTTATAGCCAAAACATGATGTTAGAGAGATTTTGTTTGAAATAATGTTGCATCGAAAGTGAAATTTCTAACTTGAATGATATTCTACGAGATGAATGATTATTGAAAAATGAAATCTTCTTAAATATAATTGTTTGGAGAAGGTTTATAAACTTTGACTTGGTATTAGGTCTTGGAGAAGCTTGATTTTGGAATAATATTTAATTTATAATTAATTTAATTTAAACGATACTTTTAAACACAATTAATTTTTGAAATCTTTTTAAATAGTTTATTGTTGATTATTAGAGATTGTAATCTTTCTTCTAGTGTTAAATATAAGAGATTTTGAATAAAGAAACTTGATTTTAGAGATTTTCTTTATAAAATAATATTAGATTTGAAATCTTTGAATCATATTTTGTTAGATGATTAATTTTCGAGTTCTATATAAATTGAAATTCTCCTGAACAATTCAAAAATTATTAATGTGAAATCTTTTCCGTATCTATGCTTTTCAAGTTATAAAGTAACAGAATTTATAAAACGTACAGATTCAGCATTGAAAACAATATATTTCATTATTTCTCCCATTGTCTATCGTCGAGTGGAACAATGCTCGACTCGCGTCAAAATCGTTCGAGCGAGACGCCCTGTCTCGTGACTAGCGCTCGTCGTCGATCGCTTCGTGACCTCTCCAATTCAACCGCGCGAATACAATTTAATAATTCCCACTAGCTGTGTCTGGCCAGCCGGTTTTTTGCACCCGCTCGTAACATCTTCGAAGATACCCTTTAACCTCTGTTCGGCCGTATTTCGATCGATTCTCGATCGGTTTGAACCGCTTGCATCACACGGAGAAACCGTGATTACGAGAGTGATCACTTGGATCGACGAAATTTAACGAATGATCGATTTAGTTTAGTGGGAACAAAAACCGAAAGAAAAAGAAAATTTAAAGATATTTTGAATGGTATTTTTATTTCAATATTTTGAATTTTTTCATCGTTTAAAAGACATAATTGGCATAATGATTGAAAGAATGTCGACCGGATAATAGCTGTCAAAGCTCACGTAATGGCGGCCGCTGCTAGCAATCACGTGTAAAATTAGCGTGACCAACAGTCGTAGAGCTTTCCTTTGTCTGAACTTACTGCTAGACTATTCTGACGTGTTTCGAATGCAGTGTGTTAATGGAGAGAAACGTTCCTGACACGTTTGAAGGGTATTATACGATACTATTGCCTTCTAGTGAATACAGTGTGAACGTAATTGGCCGTTTAGTGCTTTCTTCTGGCAATCAGTTGCTTCGTGGTGTGTTCGGAATTTGCGTTGAAACTTGCTGGTGTTATTTAATACGATTATTAAAAATCGATCATACAATATATAAGTGATATGAATTATTTATATCTTTTTGTAAATTCGTTAAATCCTATCCATTTGATTTATATTTGAAATTTTTATGTTTGATTTTCTTATAAATCTTATAAATCCAATAATCTAAGTTCCATTCTTTTAAAAAAATTGTAAAGGAAGAAATGTCGCGAGATCGTCGTAGCTTGGTCGAGCACGGAAAGATCAAATTTAGTGTCACGAAGTCACGTAAACGGAAATGGTCATAGCAATACAACGGTGACACGAAGAATCAGTTGATCAAGAAGAAGTGGATTTCGTGATGAAATGACATAGTAGCTTTCTACGGAGTGGCAGGGTCATCTGGGTGCATAGACACGGCAGCTGCCAATTGTAAATGATCACTGCACGATTCCATTGTTTCGTTCCGCTGGGGATTCATTTGAAAGATGATGATCAATGATTTATTAATAATAATCGATAAATCTATAAACCTATTAAACATTTTTTAAAAATTGCAATTTTCTTGCGAACAATTTATTATTTATCTTATCCTACGGGTTAGCCCATGTGCATTAACATAATCTATAAAATCCTTACTATCTTTACACTACAAAGAAACCACAAAAATTTTCAATACATCATTTTTTTCCATTTTCAAAATATATCAAATTCTGAAAAATCTAGAACTTTCACCGACAACACTACGCACATAACCAAGAACAAAGAGAAATAACCAACGGTATCGCTTTCTTCAGTTCACAAATATCAAAATCACCAACCATGACCCAACAATAGCCACACGAAAAGAAACTGGGGAACACTTCTGTCATTATCGTGAATCGTTTGGAAACGATGGTGGCCGAGTATCGTCCGTCGCTCGTTCGATTCAAACGTCCAGATACAACTTTTCTTCTCTCTCTTTCTCTCCGTCAACTCGAAAATAGACTCGACCCTGAATTATTCGCCAGAACGATCCTCCCTTGTCTCTTCTTTCTCTCGCGTGGCTTTATCGGGTAGAGAAATCGACGCGGGCTCGCAGCTAAATTACCGGCTGGCAGCGTGTACGCGACCGTGATAGACGCGGCAACACCTAACGCCAGTCACGATGCCAGCGCCACGTGTAAAAACGGCCATTGTCGGTACAGAGGGAGAAGAGACTCGTTCCGTCGCGTCGAGCACATCCGAGGGACGTTTCGGATCACGGACGATTCGATGGGGGGCAATGTGGCTAACGGATTGTCCTACGAGCCAACCGTGGACGTGTCCGATCGTTTTCTGTATCCTGACCTGTCCTACTAGCCTCCTGCTGCTGCTTTTATGGTACATTGTTCCACGGAAACCGGGATCGCGATAACGGGAAGCTTTGACATTTCACCGTGTTAAATCTGGTACTTTATCGGTATTTTGTCGTACGGAATAGAGCGTAGTGTGAATACAGCTCTATCGGACAGAAATTTTTAATAAGATTGCCCGAGAAGATAGGAGGAAGAATGTATTAGAAGCTGAAATTAAAATTATATGCAAGTAGTGATATTTTAGGTTAGGATACTATTGTTAGTTGAACAATTTACAATGAATCGTATATAGGTGGTGCTAAAATTTATAACAAAGTTATTAAAGAGTAATCAAAGTTAATGAAAACTTTTACATAATGTTTAAAGAAGATTAATGACAGTTTTAGATTAACATTATAGAAAGATTTTATTCTACGTTCAATCTACATTCCTTCTTTACTTTCTTGTTCTCGTTTCTCTAAAAATAAACTTGTCATTGCAAGATGAACTATGATCGACTACACCAGTAGTTTTTAATTTTTCTCAATCTTGAAAAGAAATCATTAACTTTTAGCAAAATTTATTTTGATATAATTACATTACTATTATATATTTTACAAGAATGAATGATTCTCCATCAAAATGATTCTCTCGCTAGCTAATTCAAAGGCATTTTTTTTCTAATTTTTCTTTACTTTATATATGATAGAAGGCACAAAAGAGGATCGTAAGTCAAGAAAGAGTGGAAAACACTGGACAACACGATCATCCAGTATCTCGATTCTCTCGACTTATGGATCCGGCGATCGACGAGCATCCCTCGGAGGTGGCTCACGCGGGTCAAGGCGAACCGCGTGCACGTGCGTGTACACGCAATGGCGCGAGAACACAGGTGGATGGTTAACGAGCCCTGGGAAATTTTTCACCTTTTCCCTCCTCCTTATTCTTATTTTTCCTCTTCCACTACTCGTTCCTCGTGTAAGAACTAGTTTCATCGAAGTAGTCTTTTTGGTTCAGTTTGTAATCGTGCACTACGCAAATCGATCTATAGATACGGAACGCGCGCAGTCCCTTTCTGATCGAGATACGGACATGGGAACCGGTGCTATACTCGGTGAACCTGCGATAGGAATGCGGGAGAAGCGAGTGGATGCAAAGTTGTATCGCGAGGATGAAGCGTGTAACAGTTTCTTGCTGCAAGGTACGTGAAAGGGATTTAAAAAAGAAATATCGGTGAAACAATTTTCGTCATTTGATTTTATACTGATTTCACTTATTCAGATTTTTAATTTAGAAATTATGAAAATGAGCTTGATTCCTTTTTTTTTTCACGTAAATCTTATAAATGATCTTTCTAATTTTCTAGTTCCAATTTTGTCATAAATTCTGTCTATAATGTCCAATAATACTTGTTAATTATGATCAGTGGTTTGATATCAAAAAAAATTACACGATTGCTAAACAGTGAAACGTGATATTCGTGGTGTATCGAATGCAAGGTATTCGCAAGAACAAGAATGTCAATGTGTAATACGTATTGTATGTATATCGCTGTTCAAACGCCATTTTCTCGATCTCGTTTCTTCGCCGATCTTTTCTCTTGAATTTGAATACCGGCTTTTGAAATACCGTACGCATGAACGATACGAATACAGCCGTCCCAAAAATATAGCAATTTGAAGCTATACGAGGAGAAATGAATTTCCATATTCGCAAAATAACAACGTCTCGTCGAATGTTCCAGATGTCTACGCCAGTGCGCGGGCCACGATGCTCGGTCACAATTTTCGAGGAGAGGAGAGGGGGGAGGATTTCACGCGGGTACGCGTACACCTCCTACACGGCGCGGCGTATAGCAGCCGCTTGACAGCTGTCACCTCGGCCGAGGGGGCGACAAGACACGGCGAGGCGAGGCCCGGTGATTCATGCGCCACAGGGGGGCACAAGGATCCGGCGACCTCCTGTCAAGGATTCCTTCGTCGCATACCATGCGCTCGAGGTGACATCGCGGCCGACTGATTTAATCGCGAACACACCGTGTTGCAGTCGTGCGCACGGCATGGAATTCGAGTCGCCCATTTCCACTTCTCTTTTCATTCGCGTACACACATTCTTATACCGTTTTTTTTTGCACTGTTTACAACTCTTATAATAGATATCACCAGCCTAATATCTCTTGATCGCAAGAGATCAATTTTTTTGATTCGATCCTCTTTTCCAGGGTTAAGATGATGTTGGAAGAGATTCGGCAAGAAAGAGGATTTAAATCGACTCGAAATTCCTCCTCCGAGAATTGCTATATCGATTATTGAATAAGTGTAGACAAAAAGGTAAATTTACAGTACGCGACTTGAAAAGAGTAGTTTCGACGAGGTTTGTTTTTCTTCATTTCAGCTCGCTCCTTCGTTAGCTAATGGAATTACCCGAACGCAATGACACAGCGATTACATAATTGCGACCCTCTCGTTGACTCCTCTCGCGCACAGCCAGCTCCATTACTCTCTGTACCCCTCCTCCTCCATCGTTCTCTCTTTCCTGCGCGGAGGATGGTCGATTATTCTCCAGAGACAAATGACACGGTCGACGAGGAGTAACGAGCGGCAACGAGACTCGTCAAACGTGTCGTTTCCCGCTCGGTTGGATGGGGTCCAAGCGGAAAGGAAGAACGAGCGGTGACTCGTTAGATTTTCTCATATCGATTGGAAATCGGAAACGGGAAGTTGCCTCGATGGTGACTTGCGCCAAGGGATGATCGCTCGCTTCATTCCCTCCATCCATTTGTTAATCATGTTTGTTTTAAAAAGATTTTAAAAGATGAATGTTCTTTTTAAATTTTAAATTTCATTTTTATCGATAATAATCATATGTGCAGCTTATGCACTCTCATTGTAATTTGTAAGTTAGAGACAGTTTGATCCTTCTGAAATAATGTAAATAATGTTCCAGGATGAATACTCGTTGGATGCATGACTGTTATGGGCAAGTGTAAGTATCAACAATCGTATAACGTATATCAACTCGCCGTTGGTTCTCATTATAATTTGTAAGCGAAGACGTTGTATGGTTTGATCAGATTCGGATAATTTTTGAAATGATGTATAAACGTTTCAAGATACTAGAGGAATCGACAGCTGTTGGCGACGTAATTGGGTCGATAAGTCGAAGACGTGGACGAGGTCCGGGTGTGTCTTATCGCATCGTGACATCGACAACCCGGTGAAACGTCACTCTCAGGTGACTTATCCACCACGGGCACGTGGACATTCGTCTCGAGTCGTCGATACATCAATGTTAAATTGTCTTGGATCGATTTATATAGGCCGACCACGACCTTGCGAATTCCCACACGCGCAGATAAATGATTGGAGCTGTTCCAGAAATGTAATAAGAATTAAGCGATCGAAGCTATCGGTCTTTGCACGTACAATTTGTTGCAAAAGTATTTGTATTCTGACGCTTTTGGAGGCTTGTGAAAATATTAAGTTATTAAGCAATTTAAGCTTGACTTAAATAAAGCAGAGATAGAATATTATTTTGGTAAATTCATTTGAAATGAAAAAAAGATTTTAATATTTCTTCGATCATTTCTTCATTCTTATTTATTTATTTTAAATAGAAATAATAATATGGAATTTGTATAAAGAAATTTTATTTCAACTGGTTTATTCAATAAACAAAATTTGTTGCAAAGTATGTAGACCAAAGTATTTAATATTTGTATTGTGATACTTTTGGAGGCTTGTAAAAATATATTAAGTTATTAAGCAATTTAAGTTTGTAAGTTTGTATAAAAGATTTTAATATTTCCTCAATCACGAATTTTACTTATTTATTTATTTTAAATAGAAATAATAATATGAATGAATTTGCATAAAGAAATTTTATTTCAACCGGTTTATTCAATAAACAAAATTAATATTCCTTCCACGAATATATTAACATCGAACAAGTAAACAATTCAAAAAAAAGATAAAATAAAATATAAAACACGCTAGCTTTTCATCAAAACCTCTGATCCGCTTAAAACAATCGATACCTCGTCGCTAATCTCCGACGAAAAGCCAAAAAAGAAAGCAAAAAAAAAAAGAAAAAAACAAGAAACAAGAAGAAGAAGAAGAGAAAAAAAGAATGTTCGTCCCTCGAACATCCACCCGGTATCCATCGTTCTCCACCCTTTTTCCACCATTCGGTGCCATCCGGTGGAATCCGGACCCTCCCCTCGAACTCCGTTCTCCCCAGGGTGCAGCGAGCGTAAAGCTTTATGCTCGCATTTCCATCATACGGGCAGCGCCGATTACGACGTATCGCCCGTTAAAAATGCATGCAATTAGCCCGCGCCGCTTCTTACAACCCGAACCCCTTCCTCGGGTTGGTGACAAAATTACGATCTACCGGGTGTCGTTAATATCTACGAGTCTTGGAAAACACGGAGCGGGAAGAAATTGCATGCTGGGGGATGATCTGCGAGATGTTGGAGGGCGCGGGTCTAACGCGAGCCGAGTTTACGATTCAGGGGGGGGGGGAGGTTGGACGACTGTCTCGAATCGATAGGGCGGGCGGCCCCGATCGTGGAAAAGTTCCAACCTTGGTGTCTGCCCGTTCCTACCGTTACCTATCTACAAATCTAGGATTTGGTATAAATAGGTGGAATTAGGTGGTTGGAACGGTTTTCAGGGTGGATTATTGGAAAACGTCGAGGGAGGTGGTGATTTGAATACTTTGGAATTCTTGGTTGTTGGGGTTGGGAGCGAAAGAGGGATATATATGAGTCTTTATTTTTATTATAGATACATCGAATTTTTTTTTTAGCCAAGTTCTTCAATATTTTGGAATTCTGTTGTTGGTTGTCACAAGGAACGAAAGCGAAGACATATAAATCCTTATTATAAAAATTTTTATTATAGTTTTAGATATGTCGAATTTGTTTCAGTTAAATTGTTAGGAATGAAATGTTGGATGGAAAGAGGCATATAAATCTTTATTTTTACTGTAGTTTTAGATATATCGAATTTTCTTTTGTTAAGTTCAGATTGTTTTTGTAATAAATATGAACGAAGAAGAAATAACAGAAATTCTTCTTGAACAATTTTTAAGAGCAAATTTGACGTAATATAATATAAACATACGTATTACGTAAACGTAACTAAAAATTATTATATATTTTCAAACAAAAATCGACGATATATATAGTCAAGAAAACAAACGAAATATATCGAAATACGTAGGAAGAAACATCGCGTTTTGTCACATCGGGCAGATAAATCCCAACAACTTGTTAGTAACGTTGCATCTAAACGCATGCACACGCCATATCAATCCGTGACCCGATAACGATGCAATTCTCCGCGTCAGCGGTGTGTTTTCGATACGTGAGCGATTTCCACATCAAACGTGCCACTGGAGCCGCGGGAACGCGTTTAAAAACCAGCCTCACAGCCACGATCGGCACAGTTCGACCAACCAAGATCCAAGGAATCGATCCACGAAAAATGCATCCGAAGAAGATCGTCGCGTTCATTATTTTGGGTTTGACGGCGACCCAGGTTGACGCCGTTCCAACGTCCAAGATCGAGGAGCAGAGGTTGGAGGAGGAGATTCTGAAAGCGGATCACGAAACCTTGGGCAACGAAAGATCGAAGAAATCGGTGCTTCTTCTCAACAACCAACTTCCAACCATAACCTCCAGCCAGACCTACAATCTGCCCTTGCAGCAGACACTCGGCCTCCAGCCATCCTCGCAAACTCTCGAAACTCTGATCCAGCCCAACAGTCAGATCCTCAACGTCCAATCGGCACCGCGCACCCTCGAAACCGTCAACCTTCTGCCCAACGGCCAACCACTCGTCAATATCCAATCGTTGCCCCAAACCGTGGAAACTGTCAGCATCCAACAACAACAACCTGTTCAAACCATCAGCGTCCAGCAACAACAACCTGTCCAAACCATCAGCCTCCAGCCCAACGCTCAACCGCTCGTCAACATCCAATCGGTGCCCCAAACTGTTGAAACCGTCAATCTTCTGCCCAACGCTCAACCGGCTCAGCTTCTCAACATCCAATCGGGTCCTCGAACCGTGGAAACTGTCAGCGTCCAACAACCTGTTCAAACCGTCAACCTTCTGCCCAACGCTCAACCGGTCGTCAACATCCAATCGTTGCCGCAAACCGTCGAGACCGTCAGCATCCAACAACAACAACAACAACCTGTTCAAACCATCAGCGTCCAGCCCAACGCTCAACCGGTCGTCAACATCCAATCGTTGCCGCAAACCGTCGAGACTGTGAGCATCCAAAAACCCCAACTCCAAGCATTGAATCTGCAAGCAGGCGGGCAAACGCTGAGCGTGTTCCCCCAACCGACGGTGATCGCGCAGCCACCTCTCCCAGCTCAAACCAACGTGAACATCGTCCCACAGAGTCCATCGGTGTCGGTGAAGGAGGTCCAGGTCGAATCCTTGGCGTTGTCGTCCCCGTCCTCTGTCGTCGAGAGGATCACTCAGGGATTCGTCAACCCTCTCGACGAGAAGGTGATCGTCTCGCCATCTTTGAACGAGTTGTCGCTAGTGCCAGCCAGTGGTGAACAGGTCCTCGTCTCGCCGTCCACCTCTTTTTTTACCATGGTCAAGCCAGTCGAGACGACGTCCTACGTGAACGTGCCCCAAGTGTATTACAACCCTCGATCTTTGACCTCGAACAGGCTGGTCTCGCGAGTACTTTAGTAATAATCGGTAAGTTGATTGGGGGGGATCGATCTCGAATTATTCATGCGATTAATACAGTTAAAGGTTTTTCGTATCGATTAATTAATCATTGATTTTTCTTGTTTTTCACAGATACGATACGGAAACTATTGGGTGGAGGGATACAAATTTTAATCGAGGCGATTCGCGCGATGATAAAAATATTGCTGTATGTAAAATTGGGAATAAACGCTATGCAATTGTACCTCGCTATTTTAATCTCCTTATAATTCCTACAAAAAAAAAAAAAAGAAGTAGCAATTTTCGATAAAGATTCGAGTGCAAAGCGAGGAAATTTAAAAGTTCCTTTTAAAGACGGAAGGGGACATCGTCTCTCTGTTCCCACAACTCTGTCCAGCGGGTTGGAAGATCGAAATCTCGATCTCGAGGAGAGAAAGGCGAGGATTCGAGGCCCGCCGCGGGGTTCGCGCGGTCCACGTCGATTTCACGACATGTCCTCCACCGTCTGACATCCTTGGAAACGTTATGAAAGGTCTTAATCGGAATTCGAATCGAGGGGAACCCTCCCCCCGATACCGATCTGACCCCGCGTCGGCGTGTGCTCGAGCGACAGGATCGGTTGATGAGCGACTTCACAATAGGCCACAGAGAGATTTAACGATAACGTCGCGAGTCGTGCATCCATCATGGCGGAGCAGACGGCGCGAGATTGTCAAAATCTCGGCCGCTTTGACGTCCTCTCGTGTCGTCGAACGACGACCGAATTCTCTCTCATGCTTTTTACACGACTTTTACACGAGAATCGTATGATTGGCGGAGAATAGAATTGGCGCGTATTTTGAATTCTCGAAGGGAAGGTTATAAATACTTATTGTATCATACAATTATATTATATCTTGTAGAAGAGTAGTATAATTTGAATATTCAAAATTATTCTCACTTCAATCGAAATTACGTTAGATTGTCAAAATCTCGGCAGCTTTGACATTCTCTCGTATCGTCGAATTTACACGAGAATCGTATGATTGGCAGAGAATAGAATTGGCGCGAATTTTGAATTCTCGAAGGGAAGGTTATAAATACTTATTGTATCATACAATTATATTATATCTTGTAGAAAAGTAGTATAATTTGAATATTCAAAATGGTAAAAATTATTCTCATTTCAATCGAAATTATGTTAGGATAATTGAGATATAATAACGTATCTATAATATGTCTAGCTTATTGGTATATACATACGATTATTATCTTAACTATTCGAATATAAAATTACGTTTATAAATTAAACCATCGTTGCAAATTAGAATTTAGAATTCTCTGGCTTAGAATTCTACGCCAATGTATCGAGGTATATTAGTGAATTATGTAGAAACAAAAAGGTGTTTCCTTTCAAATTAACCAATCAGAGATATGCCTTTGATTCACTAAAATTAAAATTGTTAATGTTTGGATATATTGTAATTGATTGAAAAAAAAGAACAAAAAGGCGGCGCAACAACGGTTTCAACTTTCTCCACGAGAAAAACACAAGGCCCTGGCTAGAATCTCTTACGAACATCCTGTCACAATTTAATCGTGCAAGCGGCCGGTTGACCAACACCGTCCGGTCCAACTTTCCCTTTTGTATCGCGATAAAAAAAAAGAAAAGACGGACGCAACGTCGCGTTAAGGAGTGATTCGCGTGCAATGCGAGCATGCAACGAACGTGAAAAGGATAATTAACGTGAAATGGCGTTTTTTATTACGCGCCGATTGCGCACCGAGATCCATCGCCATTTAACTCGATATAACTTTTCCAACCGGGTATAATAATAATAATAATAAAGATAATAATCGTCAATAATTCAATAATATTGATCGTTTCACTCGATGTAACAATTCGAGAATCGAGAAGAACGAAGAAAAGAGAAAAAGAGACGCTGATGCGATAACGAGAACAAGAAGATTAATCGAAGAGAAACAGAAACGTTTCGTTCTTCGTCGTAGAAATATGCGCGTGTTGGCAGCCTAAGTATCGAAAAAAATATCATTTTTCGTTCGAGACGCCAGTAAATTACCTATCGATTACCTTATACGAGGATACGGAATAACAGCGCTATAAACACCAATTCCTTAACGCGCTATTTACACATTCATTCCATTTACACAATGTCCTTCGTGTCGTATCCCGTGTTTCCTCCTCGGCCGCCTCGTTTCGCTTCCTGCATTTTTCAGCGTGCCACCAACATTCCACCTCGGTGTCTCCGCGCCTATGCACCGCGGGGAAAAAGCAGAAGAGCAAGAAGAGAATAGAACGCGCGTCCATTTCTTGCGCAACGATCGCCATAGTTGGATCTTAATCGGCGTGCAACGAACCTTCTTCCTCTTCTTCTTCTTCCCCTGCGTTCTTTCTTCCATTGGATTTCTTTCCCATTGAAATCACCTCTGATCATCACAGCTAGATCACCGTGTCGCGGTTCCTTGACCACCATTTTCCGCTTTTACGCTCGTCCCTCGTAATTATTGGCAACGCTGCTTGACACGCGTTCAACGATCGATAGGTATTGGGATTATTGAACAGCGGTTACGAAGATTGGATTTAATTCTACGCCGCTTCTGGCGTGGGGAAATTTCGTGGAAAATTGTAGGGAAGAGAGTGTTAGGAAACGTGGGAAGATTGTAACGTAGGAAATGTTTTAGAAGATTGATAAGAGGTGATTTAAGGTATCGAAAATTTATCGAATATATCGGTGTTATTTTACAGGCGAAAACAACGTAAAAGTTGATGTGCAAAAATAAAGCGAAGAGCTTTGTCTTCGTCGCACATCTATTGAATCATATATCTCCGTCTCGCTTCGTCGCGAACGCAAACTTCGAATCGTTTGTAACTTGATAAATAAGCTCGAACCGAAATTATTGTATATTAACTTTTATTTCGGCATTTCTGCAATCAATTCTTCCAAAAGTGTGTGCAAACATAAAATAGCCATTAATGGAAATAATTCGACTCTCTCTCTCTCTCTCTCTCTCTATATATATATATATATATATATATATATATATAATAATATAT